AGGCCTCTCAGCCCTTCCTTGTATGTGTCTACTTTCAACAACTAAGCAACTCATAATGGAGAGAGAGAGATTACTTAGGAGAGATTTGATAAGGAAAAGTTACATGAAGAAACAAGATATCTGTAAACGGATTTCTGACAAATTTCTATAAAATTTTCCAAAAGTCAAGATATCAATCAAACCGAAATGAAACCCATATATCAGACACAGAACAGGCTCCTCCCTACACTCATTTGTTCTTTGGCTTAACCTTATGGACTTTTTAGGAAATGGAATATCATGTCATGCTTGGTAAATAAGTTGAGAGAGGATGCAACAAGGTTGAATTTTAATTTCTCCACTCAAAGAAAAAAAATGATTTTTTCACAGCTTCATGTCGAATTTTCAAAGCTTATAGAAACAAGCAGAAACGTAAACAGTTTCTAGACATTTTTTTTTTTGAAAAAGAGTTCTAGTAACTGTTTTCGTTGAAATGCTTGAACAAAAAGCGCAGGAATGCAGATAAGTCAATAGCGCACTCAAGACACTTTCGAGACTAGAAGGTTAATCTAACATGGAAAGGAATGCGTTTACGAGATAGTTTGGAATATTAACCAATATTTAATATATACAACTACAAGCAATAACAATTTTATTATGGTGACAAACCTGAGCAAGACAATTTGATAATACAGAAAGGTGAGAAGAGAGAAACTGGAAAAGATTTTATGATTTAGAGTAAAGCAAATAACAAATCTAACAATTTGTACCTCACCTTTAACATTTGAAGAGTTTGAAAATCAAAGTAATAAGCAAAAGGAACATTATGTGAAATCTTCAAATTTGAATGAGCAGAAGCTACATTTACCATTTTCCAAAACAGAGCTCAAAGCCTCACAACAGTAACAAATAACAATAGAAGTGTAACCACGAGTATTCACCACCATTCCATACCATCTACGTGTCCGTCGCAGATACACCCCGTCTTTTCCTCCTCTGCTTGTGACTCAGAACTCTTGGGGTGTAATCCGTAGAAGGCATTTCCTTAATAATAAAAATTGACCATGGTTAAGGAATTGAAGACTAGATGTAGTTGAGATGGCGTAATCAGAGCTAACCTCTTTTGATAAATGAACATTACTATTCTTCATGAATAGCCAATAACATGAAAGACCAGCTAAGAATCCAAGAGGGTCAAGGGCTGAATAATATGACGGTACAAAATGCACACTTTTATAAGTTTAAGAAAAAAGTGCGCATATCGCACTAATCGAATCAAATTGCAGT